CATTTCGTAAGTACGGCATCTTGAATCTGTTAAAAAGAATTAAAAAAAATAATAAACCAGTTTTTAACAAGAGAAATTTAACATCAAACTCACCTCAGTTCACAAATCACATTATTGACACATTGTTGGTAGAATAAGCAAACAAAAATTTTATTATAGGTGTGTCAACCTCCAATAACAATGCTTTTATTTAGGCTACATTAAAAAATCAACCCAAGAGAAGGGATAAACCTATAGATAGATTAATTTGCATAATTAGCAAAATTTCCAGAGCTCATTTAGATATCGAACACAAAAACAAATATTTCACTCTGTAATAAGCATAAAAATAATGTGTTTTTTTATTTTGTTTTTTTATTTGGTCTTTTATAAGTATAAGAAACAGAGAGTAATAAAAAAATTATGGAAAATGTGGCATTCCTTGGTTTTTGAATTTTTTTATTTTTTATTTACAAAACAACACTTTTTTCACAATTTACTCGTACATTTTGAAACAAAGAACAGAAATATGACGCACAATAAACAACATATGGTTCAAGTTTATGAAAATTATGAATGTATTTACAGTTTATAGAAATCTATGATAATATTCTTATCAAATAAACAAAACAAAAATAAACAAAAAAGGCATATGCTTGAGTATTTCGCACGCAGTTCAATGACATTTTTCTAATAAAACATAATTCACTGCAATAAAACTCTAAAAAATGTTCAAAAAATTCTATCTATAAAAATTTTGAAGTTATGAGAGTTTATACATATTTTGCACTTTGACTCTATTAATTTCTATTGGAAAAAAAAATTTCAAGTTTTTTTTTGGCAAAATTTTTGTACCTTTACTAAATAATTATAAAAAAAACATATACAAATAGAAATAAAAAAATGGCAAATGTCAAAACATAGCGTTTTGGCTGTTTGTCAGTAGAAAAGCAACTATTTAACAAAATTTTATCAAAAATAAGACGAAAAATGACTAAATTAGGTCAAAAATGGTGTAATTCTTGTCTTTTTTGACGGTTTTAGAACGTTTTTAAGCTTAATCGAGCCAAAAAATGAGTCGAAAGTAACATTATTTTTGTCTTTTTCAAGCGTTTTAGCACATTGTGAATTAAAGACACAATTATGTGCATTTTTTTCAAAAATAAGTCAAAAACCTCAATGAATTTTTTCGATCCTTTTTCATGCAAATTTACCTACAAATAAACCAAAAAAGTATCAAATTCAAGCATGTTTTTGGGCGAAAACTCCAATTTCTTGCAAGATTTCGCTAAATCAGGCCAAAAATCACTAAAATGGGTCGAAAAATAACATTATTTTTGTTTTTCAACCCGAAATCTCTAAATTGGGTCAAAAATAGTTTATTTTTCCTCCGTTTTGAAAGTTTCGGCACAATTTTAAGCTTAAAACTCAATTTTTTCACGAGATTTTTGTTTTTTCTAGAGTTTGAGTTAATTTTTCAATTATAAACGCATTTATTTCGCAATATTCTAAATAAAATGAGTCAAAAATGCAGTTTTTTTGCGAGATTTTGCGAAAAATCCAAATTTGGTCACAAGTTATATTTATTTAAGTATTTTCCGAAAGTTTTAGTGTGTCGCAAATCAGCCAGAAAATAAGTAATTTTAATCGAAAATTGTGAAAGTTTTGTCTTTTTTGAGCATTTTCGTATATTTTCAAGCCAAAAATTTAATTTTGCAGCGAGATATTGCTCGTTTTTCAGTCAGAACCGCAATTATTTCATGAAATTTTGTCAAAAATAAGCTAAAAAATTACTAAATTTAGTGGTATTTTCGCTTTTTTCGAGAAACGCAATTATTTCGTGAAAAAAATTTTACTTTTGCAACGTTTTTCAGTCAGAAACATGAAATTTTGTCAAAAATAAGCCAAAAAATCGTTAAATTTAGAGTTTTATCACAGTGTGAGTGAGAAACACAATTATATAGCACAATTTATTCAAAAATAAACCGAAAACCTCGCTGAATTTGATCGAAAATGGTGTTCTTTTACTTTTTTCGGACCTTTTTTTGTGACTTTTATTGGAAAAATTTTCTTTCTTTATTAAATATAATTATAAAAAAACATAAAGTCGCGGTCCATTCATAGTAGCCATTAATTTATTGCAAAGTTGGCAACCCCTAGCTCGCCACCTCTAGTGTCTGGGTTGTGTTTATGTTGGCAGCAGAAGAAACTAAATTATGTCAACAATTGTGACATGTGAAGTATTCTCTGACTTTTTCAGAATTTTCATTTTTGATAGATACATCTCTAAAAAAACAATTGGATATTTAAAGTCGGATTTACACAACTCAATTTTTCCAAATTTACACTATGACTATGTTAAATGTCAAAATTTTTTGACAGATAGAATTTATCTCTGGAGCGCGATTTCTCACACCCAGAAATTCCTAATCATTAAAAAAAAAAGTCTTGTAGGTTTTAAAAAATTTAATTATGCAAAGCAAAATGTGTACAAAAACGCATTTAAGGTATATTCGCCAAATAATCTTTAACATGTGAAGGCTCCAATCTCCTGAACCCTGCCTCATCACAAATCCCAACTTCGATATTATCCGCCGTCATTTGCCCCTCAAAACTCTCTTTTAACGTTAAAATCGCCGTGTGGACTGCATCATCCAACTCCAAATCTTCGCTGTATCTGAAAAAAAAAATAAATAAATAAACACAATTTTTATCACTCAATTAAAATAGGATCTTGTAGGATATTTATTCCAGTTTTTGAAACTACATATACTAAATGACGTAAAGAGAAAATAATATTAAAAAAAACAAATTGAAGCTATCCTCTAATCCATGATTTAGAAAAAAAATGTTTACAAAAAACCATAACCCAGAAAAATTTTTGGCTAAAAGATCTCGAGACTAGAAACTTGAAGCTACAAAATGTTTTTTTTCAATCTGGATTTTTCAAAATTTGGAAAATTTTTTGTTCCCTTAATTTTTTATAGTAGTGTATTAATGCTTAAAGTTGTTCAGTTTTGAAAAGTAATACACTACTGTTAAATTTGAAAAAAAAATCGTAAATTAATTTTTTTGTTCCTTTTTGAGATTTTTTTCAAATTTAATAAATATTGCAAAATTGTACAAAATAAATAAAATGTTTTTTTATATTTTAATGAAGATTACACAATTATTAGAAATAATACAATTGTTTTGTAAAACTTTCAACAATCGATTTAAAAAATTACAGGGCTATTGAGGGTACATTAAGCTTCAAAAAAAACTGAAAATATTAGTTTCTCTCTCTCAATATTTGATAACGAAACAAGTTACTTTTTTTTAAATCAGTGTTGAGAGTAAAAAATTTTTTTTCAAAAAGAATTGTGAAAAGATCCTTCGGCAAATTCTCTGTACATCCAAAAAAAAAAAAAAGTTTACAAAAAATCGTAGCTCAGAAAAATTTTTGGCTAAAAGATCTCGAGACTAGAAACTTGAAGCTTCAAAATGTTTTTTTCAATCTTTTCAAGCCTTTCAAAAGTAAGCAAAAAAATCTGATTTTTTTTGTTCTTTTAATTTTTTGGAGTAGTGCTATTAATGCTTAAAGTTGTTCAGTTTTAAAAACCGATACGCTACTGTTAAATTTAAAAAAAAATCGGAAATTAATTTTTTTGTTGCCTTTTGAGCTTTTTTTTAAATTTAATGCAAAATTGTACAAAGTAAAATGATGCTCTACACGATGGTAATGATGAAAAAAAAATTACTCGTAGGGTTTTTCTTAGATTATTTCGATTTACTTCGAACTTCTTCGAACACTGTTCGAAAAAAAGTTTACCAATATTCAATTTCAAATTTCATATCATCCTAAAGGGCAAGGCCATCCCTTTAGAATGGTCTTTATTTAAAGGAAATCGGCCTAATAGTTATTGAGTAATGATTTTTTAAAGTTAAAGT